CAACTGAACTGATTAGACACCATCAATACTCAGAATAATGTTACCTGACCTCACAGTATATGCATGATCACCTTTGATGAGCTAATGTTTAAAAATTGTAGAAAAAGTAATTAGCCTCCAAATAATAAAAATAAATGAAAAAAAAGAGGAACACTAGAAAATAAAAACTTTAAAAAGAAATTGTAGAAAGAGATAGAATTAGGTGAAGGCAAAAAATTCCAATAAATAGTGGGGGAAAATATGAAATCATGGAAATGGCTGGTAAATAAGAGAAACCTTCTCAAACTTAAAAGAAAATGGAGAAGGATTAGATTGGAATTGAGTGACTAAATAATATCATCTTAATTTTAGTAATAATCCACTAAGGTAGATATTATTACCTACTTTTATATTTTATAGATGGTCAGTTAGACTTAGTATGGTTCATTCTGGAGAAAGTAACTTTGCTAGGTGGAACTCTTAAGATATTCCCCATCATTACTGTGGTATTTTCTTGGAAAATCTTCCCTCTGTGTTGGACGAGAACCAGTGACTATATGGTGGACTATTGTCCCTATGATTAGTTTATATAGAAAATATGAAGGGATTTTAAAGACCTAATTAAGGTCCATAATTAGTCAACTTTGAATCAATCCAAAGGAGATCATTCTAAGTGGAGCCTCACCTAATAATATGAGCCCTTAAAAGGTGGGAAATGTCAGAAGATTCTTTGGCTGGCTTGGGAGAAATCAGGTCAGTTCAGTTGCTCAGTCGTGTCTGACTCTCTGTGACCCCATGGACTGTAGCACGCCAGGCTTCCCTGTCCATCACCAACTCCCAGAGCTTACTCAAACTCATGTCCATCAAGTCAGTGATGCCATTCAACCATCTCATCCTCTGTCGTCCCCTTCTCCCCCCGCCTTCAATCTTTCTCAGCATCAGGGTCTTTTCCAAAGAGTCAGTTCTTCGCATCAGGTGGCCAAAGTATTGGAATTTCAGCTTTAGTATCAGTCCTTCCAATGAATATTCAGGACTGATTTCCTTTAGGATGGACTGGGTTAGATCTCCTTGCAGTCCAAGGGACTCAAGAGTCTTCTCCAACACCACAGCTCAAAAGCATCAATTCTTTGGCCCTCAGCTTTCTTTCTCAAGATGTCCAACTCTCACATCCATACATGACTACTAGAAAAACCATAGTTTTGACTAGATGGACCTTGGTTGGCAAAGTAATGTCTCTGCTTTTTAATATGCTGTCTAGGTTGGTCATAACTTTTCTTCCAAGGAGCAAGCATCTTTTAATTTCATGGCTGCAGTCACCATCTGCAGTGATTTTGGAGCCCAAGAAAGTAAAGTCTCTCGCTGTTTCCATTGTTTCCCCGTCTATTTGCCATGAAATGATGGGACCAGATGCCATGACCTTAGTTTTCTGAATGTTGTTTTAAGCCAACTTTCCCCCCTCCTCTTTCACTTTCATCAACAGGCTCTTTAGTTCTTCTTCACTTTTTGCTTTAAGGGTGATATCATCTGTATTTCTGAGGTTATTGATATTTCTCCTGGCAATCTCGATTCCAGCTTGTGCTTCATCCAGCCCAGCATTTCTCATGATGTACTCTGTATATAAGTTAAGTAAGCAGGGTGACAGTATGCAGCCTTGATGTGCTCCTTTCCCTATTTGGAACCAGTCTGTTGTTCCATATCCAGTTCTAACTGTTGCTTCTTGACCTGCATACAGATTTCTCAAGAGGCAGGTCAGGTGGTCTGGTATTCCTATCTCTTTAAGAATTTTCCACAGTTTGTTGTGATCCACACAGTCAAAGGCCTTGGCAAAGTAATAGAGAAAAACAATAGAATGGGAAAGACTAGAGATCTCTTCAGGAAGATTAGAGATACATAAGGAATATTTCATGTGGAAGACCTAACAGAAGCAGAAGATATTAAGAAGAGGTGGCAAAAATGCACAGAAGAACTATACAAAAATCTTCATGACCCAGATGACCACGATGGTGTGATCACTCACCTAGAGCCAAACATCCTGGGATGCAAAGTCAAGTGGACCTGAGGAAGCTTCACTATGAACAAAGCTAGTGGAGGTGATGAAATTCCAGTTGAGCTATTTCAAATCATAAAAGATGATGCTTGGGAAGTGCTGCACTCAGTATGCCAGAAAATTTGGAAAATTCAGCAGTGGCCACAGGACTGGAAAAGGTCAGTTTTTATTCCAATCCCTGCTGGGGTCCAGCCCCAGCAGGATCCAGGGGAACCCTCAGGATGAACGGCATCGGCGAATGAGAGAGAGAGAGAAAGAAAGAAAGAGCGAAAGAAAGAGACCAGACCGGAGTGTGCAGCAGAGTCTGGCAGTTGCTTTATTTTTCACCATAGACTTTATACCCTAAGTTGGTACATTTCTAAGGGGCAGATAAGCACACAGACTTAGTTTAACATTACATCAGCTTGTCCTTCACGAAACCAGGTGTTCTCTGTATATTTTTGTTTATGAGAGTCTTTTCCCGTAGATTTTTTGTACATTATCTTCTGGCCTTGAGCTTAGCAGAAAACAGAAAAGTGGCAGTCTCACGGTAGAGCAGGTTGCAACATAGTAGAAATACAATCCTGTTAACCCAAAAGTCAGTCTTTTTGCAGAAGTTCTCAGCTAAATTTATCTAAAAAGTTTAACACACAAAGACTCTGCGGCTCTGGTGAGGCAGCCCCTGTTTAGCACTCCTGGTTAAAATTAACAATTATCTTATTGTTTTTACACTAGGGCTAAACTCTTATTTTTCTAGATCTCCAACTATATTAACAATAGTTTCCACTATACAACCTCAGCACATTAACATCAATCAAACGTTGATCCAATAACCACTTTTAAAACAATATTTTTTGTGTTCTCTAATAGGGCTTCCTCACCCTCCAAAGGGCTCTGTGCCTATTAGGGCCTTTTTTATGGTTAATCTCTATGTATAATATCTTTTGGCTTTCAGGCCTGTTGACAATTTATGGCTTGCACCTGATATAACTTTAAGCAACTTCAGTAGCTGATCCTGTCTTTTTTTGTGGTTAGTCTATTTTCTATTAGACGTCATCTCTATGGGAACTAGAAAGGATTACATTTTTACAGAATAGAAATGCAAAGGATTTCAAAAACAGCAGATATGGCACAAAACAGGCTCTTAGTCTAAAAGTTAATTACCTGCAAGAAGTCACCAGCTAATCTCTATCTAAACTATTTTCTATTAGGCACATTTGTGGCTATTATATTTGTGGAGCTTTTCTCACCCCGCGGAGGGACCTATGCTTAATAGTTTCTTTTGTTAGTGTACTGTGCTTAGGATGTTTAGACACAATCATGAGCATTTTTTGCAATGAGAGCACACATTTATCAAACAAGCCAGAATGCCAGCAAAAGGGTTTGACTTGAAGCATTTCCTTCATCCCTGACCACTTCATAGGGTACCAGCGTTCAGGAGATTTATTAGTTAGGGTTTTAAGTTGATCTTTACTCAGTGAAAAAGGAGCAGGAGAGCTCTCGGCAACACAGGAGTCTGCAGCAGGGCAAACAAGAACAACAGCAGAAAAGGGCGGGGGGATACAGGGTGGGGTAGAGGCCGAGGCCAACCTGGAGGGTCTCTTATATCCTGAACGGCCTTGCGTGTCAGGTTTTTTCCTCATGACCTCGTCATGGATGGGATCCTGGACGGCCTTGCCTGTCAGGGATTTTCTTCATGACCTCGTGATGGGTGGGATCTCCCATAATGGCTCCCGGCAAATCCGAAAGAAAGACAACGCCAAAGAATGTTCAAACGAAGACAGAATTGCACTCATCTCACACGCTAGCAAAGTTATGCTCAAAATTCTCCAAGCCAGGCTTCAACAGTACGTGAACTGTGAACTTCCTGGTGTTCAAGCTGGATTTAGAAAAGGCAGGGGAACCAGAGATCAGATTTCCAACATCTGTTGGATAATTGAAAAAGCAAGAGAGTTCCAGAAAAACATCTATGTCTACTTTATTGGGAGAAATAAACAGCCATTTTTTGTGAGAGGGCCATGTCACTAGGACCTGAGCGAGAGTTCCTAGGGCCAAGAGCAACCCCTGACAGATAGTTAGTAACAAAATGAAGCAACGAGTACAAAAAAATAAATTCTTCACAGCCAATGAGGTTGAAGAGGACTCTAGATTCAAATGAAGCTGTAACCCCAACCAGGAACTTTATTTCAGCCTTGAGACCCTGAACTGAGGATCTAATTGTGCTTTGCCAGACTTCTGACTTTCAGAAACTGTGACATGGGTGTTGTTTTAAGGTGTCAAGATTTTGGTAATATTTTACCCAGTGATAGAAAGCTAGTACAATAACAAAGGAAAAATAGGTACATATGTATGGATTGGCAATTTTGGTCCCTTCACTTCAGACTTTCTGAAGGTATGATGTTTCTTTAATGAGTTTTTTTTTTTTTTTTAATAGACCTGGCTTTTTATAAATTCCTACTCAGAATCTAGGAGAACAAGAATAGTTTTCTTGTATTCTCTCTCTATTGCCTTCTTTCACAGAGCTCTCTTAACATTTATACTTTATAACTCTCCTCTGGTGCCTCAGATGGTAAAGAATCCGCCTACAATGCAGGAGACCCAGGTTTGATCCCTGGATCAGAAAGACCTCATGGAGAAGGGAATGGTAACTCACTCCGGTATTCTTGCCTGGAGAATTCTTTGAAAGAGAAGCCCGGTGAGCTACAGTTCATGGAGCTGCAAAGAGTCGGACATGGTTGAGCAACTAACACTTTCACTTTCAACTCTTCTCTACCCTCATAGTATCTTTTGAGCTACAAATGACCAAAATGAATTAAAAGGAGAAATAATCATGAGCATTACTTTTCACTTCATTTCTCTCTTCTTAAAACTTCACTAGGGAACTTTTGAATAGATGACAGTGATAGAGAAAAAAAAGCAAAGAAACATATGAGGAAATTGAAGACGTTTTAATTTAAAGGAAGTTTTAATCCAAATATATTTTAAACTTTGACAGGTTCAAAAAATGCGCCATTTGCCTGCTATGAAGAAATACAGTCTCAAACGGATAGATTTGGGAACTGTGGTAAAGAAGGACCCAGATATACATTTTGCCCGTGGAGGTATGCTGTGCAAAGAGTGAAAATTCCTGTCTTATATACTATAAAATTCTGTTTTTAGTTTTTCACTATGTATGTCATTAATTCCAGTGGTTTCAGGTATCACATGTGTGCAGGAGTTAATCTGAAATCAAAATCTTTAGTCTTGACATCATTCTTTGTACCACAGGCTTATTAAATTTCAACCTGATTTTTAAACATTTATATGAAGATGATTACTAGACTCCAAGATCTGATCCAAGATTGAAATTAATGATAGCCATTGCACCTTTTCCTGTCTGAACATACTCATTATTTTAAAAATGAAAATACTACCCCCATGCATTTGAATGCTTCCCCAAGCTGAAGACTGCCCAGTGTCTCTAAAATGAAGTTCAAAAAATAAAATAAAATAAAATGAAGTTCAATTTCTCCTGCATCGGAAGAGCCCATTCTTTGATATTTTGGTCATGAATTTCTTTTAACAAATATTTTTAAAGAACCTACTATATGCTGGCCACTAGCTAGTTAGATACAAGTTAGCAAAACATACATGATCCTTGTACTCATGGAATTTACAGGCTGGTAAACATATCATCTGGAGAAGGAAATGGCAACCCACTCCAGTATTCTTGCCTGGAGAATCCCAGGGACAGAGGAGCCTGTGGGCTTCCATCTATGGGGTCGCACAGAGTTGGACACGACTGAAGTGACTTAGCGCAGCAGCAGCAGCAGACATATCATCTAACTTTATGCTTCTTGTAATATTACTTCCTTCATAAGTAATGCTTGTGCTATGACATTTGTTTTGAAATACCTTACTCTGCCTGTTGAAATTCTACTAATTCATAAGCTTGGACTCAGATGGCATCGTCTTTATGATGTTTCCCTGACTACTAAGTTAGAATATATCTTCATCTTAAATATCTATAAGAATCTGCTTATTTCACTTACAGCACATTTAATAAGATTTATGTCATATTTAGTATTAGACTGTAAGGTCTTTGTGGGTAGAGGTCACAACTTAGTTTCTGCCCCTCTATAGAGAGATATAAAATGCCTGAGTGAATTGTTTATTTGGCAATCAGTACACCAATCTGTACAGTGAATCAAAAGATCATTAGTATCATTGAAAGATAAGCTTATATCAGTGGCTTTACATTTTACTTTAACCGTTAGCAGGAAAGTGTTACATTTCCTTAGATATATTGCCATATGGAGAACCATTCTTTGTTTTTTTGGTCAAAGAAAGAAAATATGAAGCATTCATAATAAATGCCTAATGTATAATAATCATATATTTTTATTATGCTTGCAGGAGTCTTATATGTGGAAGATTAATCTGTACCTACCCACTTCAGACTCCTTTCCTTCGAGACAGTGCTTCTGTGATTTATGCTTTTGTGCGAAGTACTGTATGTATAACAATGCACTATGAAACAACGGGTGCAGAAGATCCACTTGTGGTCAATAATGGCACTATTTGTGATAAAGAGAGGGTAAATAGCTTAAAATCAATAAAAAAAATCTATTCTATTAATTTCCCTTGTGGCTTAGTTGGTAAAGAATCTGCCCACAATGTGGGAGACCTGGGTTAGATCCCTGGATTGGGAAGATCCCCTGGAGGAGGACATGGCAACCCACTCCAGTATTCTTACCTGGAGAATCCCATGGACAGAGGAGCCTGGAGGGCTACAGTCCATGGGGTTGCAAAGAGTTGGACGTGACTGAGCGACTAAGCACACACATGACCAAATAACCTTAAATATTTGGATGAGGAGAAAATGAATAAGCTTCAGTTGGTCTCTGAGGGAAATGGGAGTGTTTGTTACTTTTTAGAATTTCAGTGTTGTAAGCAAGGAAGCTCCAAGAGTTTTGGGACAGGAGTGTGAAGGAGAGAGGTCTTGGGAATACTTGTAGTTAAATATTCCATAACTTGGGAATTTACTTTTATTCTTGAGTAAGTGAGAAGAAATCCCACTTAATTATATATGTCTCTTTGTGACCCGGTAGATAAGATCAAAACTTAGGTGGTGCCACAAGGAATAAATCTTTACCTCTTGGGTTTTGACATTTTGCAGGTTACCCAACCAGTTTGAGATATCATGGCTGTGTGTAAAATGGGGGTAATAATAACATTTACTCTATGGAGTTATTGCAAAGATGAAAAGAGATGATACAATAAAGTGTGTAGTACAATGCCCAACACATAGTAAGAACTAAATATAGGTTGGTTATCATTCTTGGTTGTTGTTATTATTGGATATCTATGAGACCAAACAACCAAATATGGAGAAAGCATGGAATAACTTTACTTCAGAATCTCATTTAGTTCTTAGCCAGAAATTTGCTCATGAGGAACTATCATATAGTATAAAGTGTAGCCTTTAAAGACAGAAGCACAGAGATCTGAATTTTGACTCTTCCTCCTTACCTGACAGATGATTTTGAATAAAATATTAAATATGTAAAATGAATGTTATGTATTTTGGTGATTTTTGGTCATGATAGTTTTTGGTGATCTGATACTCTTCTCTTATTGTTTTCTGAATTTCCTAAAACTGTAGTTTCGTGTCTGATATTAATTTGGGGAAAATTCTCAGTCATTATTGTTTCAAATGGTCTCTCCAGGTGGCACTAGTGGTAAGGAAACCCACTTGCTAATGCAGGAGATGTAAGAGACTTGGGTTTGATCCATGGGTTGGGAAGATCCCTGGGTTGGGAAGATCCCCTGCAGGAGGGCATGGCAACTCACTCCAGTATTCCTGCCTGGAGAATCCCCATGGACAGAGGAGCCTGGCAGGCTACAGTGCATGGGGTCGCAAGGAGTAGGATACGACTGAAACAACTTAGCATGCACATTGTTTCAAATATTTCTTCTGTTCCTTTTTCTTTTTCTTCTGGCATTTCCATTACATATACATTATGCTTTTTTGTAGTTGTCCCTTGAATATTCTTTTTTTTGTCTTTGTTCTTTTTGCTTTTTTGTTTTCAAGGATTCTTTTGATATATTCTCTATCTCAGAGATTTCCTTCCTCAGATACGTACAGTATACTAATAAGCCTGTTAAAGGCATCGTTCATTTTTGTTAGTACTTTTTTTCATTCCAGCATTTATTTTTTTTCCCTTGGGATTGCTGTCTCTCTGCTTCCATTGCCTGTCTGTTCCTGCGTGCTATCTACTTTGTCTATTAGAGCCCTTAAGATGTTAATCATGAGTGAGTGAGTGTTCGCTAAGCTGTGTCTGACTCTTTGCGACCCCAGGCTCCTCTGTCCATGGGATTCTCCAGGCAAGAATACTGGAAGGAGTTGCCATTTCCTTCTCATAGCTCTTTTAAACTCCGAGGCTGATAATTTCAGTATTCCTGACAATGTCTGGTTCTGATACTTGCTCCATTTCTCAAATTATGTGTTTTGGCTTTTAGTATAACTTTATCTGTTTTCTTGAGAGCTGAGCATGATGTACCAGCGAAAGAACTGCTGTAAATGGACCTTTAGTAATGTGGTGGGGAGGTGTTGTGGCAGGGAAATATTCTTCAGTCCTATGATTAAATCCGTCTTTCAGTGAACCTGTGCCTTTGGATTGTGAACTTCACAAATATTTTTCAGGTTTTTTTTTTTTTTTCTTTCTTCCCTTAGATGGGACAGTATGGCTAGAGCAGACTGGAGTTGGCTATTTCTCTTTTCACATATGGAAGGTTAAGAGCAGACTGATATTGGGTATTTCCCTTCTCCCAAATCAGTTAGGCTCTGATAGAACACTAGCAGATGAGGCTATAATTATTAATAACTCGTTTCTCCTAAGGGCCAGCTTTGTTACAGACTGCTCTGGCTACTTCAAAATAGTTTCTTTTCCCCTCCTTCTGCAAGATAACAAGAAAAAAAATTTCTCTAATATTTACTGTGAGAACCTGGTTAAGCTCCTGGATATACATCACATGAAACAGTGGGGGTTCCTCATGACTGGATGCCTCTGGAGTTTTTAAGTCTTGGGGTTGCCCTTACTGAGGCTCTTATAATTCATCAATTACTTTCCTTACCTGGCACTGGTACCTGAGCATTCTCCTTGTTAATCTTTGCTCTGGTAAGCTGTGACTCCCTGTATTTGCTTGGCTGTCTCTCCAATTTGAGAGCAGTGATTTGCCACCAAACCACTTTTATGGATCCTTAAAGTTTTTGCTTTTTCAGTCTGTTCAACTTTTTCATTGTTTTTAGGATGGAGTGGAAACTTCCAAGCTTCTTATTACATGGGGAAGTAATAACATAAACAAGAATAATTTCTTAAAAATTTATTTTAAAAAATACTTAATTTTTTTTGTGGCTTTTTAAAAATTTTTTTATTTTTTTTATTTTTCCATTTATTTTTATTAGTTGGAGGCTAATTACTTTACATCATTGCAGTGGTTTTTGTCATAAATTGAAATGAATTAGCCATGGATTTACATGTATTCCCCATCCCGGTCCCCTGTCCCACCTCCCTCTCCACCCGATCCCTCTGGGTCTTCCCAGTGCACCAGGCCCGAGCACTTGTCTCATGCACCCAACCTGGGCTGGTGATCTGTTTCACCCTAGATAATGTACATGTTTTGATGCTGTTCTCTTGAAACATCCCACCCTCGCCTTCTCCCAGAGTCCACAAGTCTGTTCTATACATCTGAGTATCTTTTTCTGTTTTGCATATAAGGTTATCGTTACCATCTTTCTAAATTCCATATATATGTGTTAGTATACTGTAATGGTCTTTATCTTTCTGGCTTACTTCGCTCTGTATAATGGGCTCCAGTTTTAGAAAAGTTTTAAGTTCATATCAAAAGTAGTGGAAAATATAGGGAATTTCCATGTACCATTTACCCCTACATAAATGCAGACTCCACTATCCATGATGCTATGGACCAAAAGTCCATAATTAACATTAAACTTATCTGAAAAATCCCCAAATATTTTTAGCTTAAACTATACATTTCTAAATAACACTTATGCCAAAGGATAAATGTCAAGAGAAATTGAAAAATATTTTGAATTAAATGAAAATGAGAATATAACATAAAAATCTGTGGGATGCAGCAGAAGCGGTACTTAATGGAAATTTACTGCACTGAATAGCTGTTGTCCTATGTTATAAAATTACTGATGGTAATGTTAAGATAACTGGACTCCTCTAACTTGGAAATTGTTTGTTTTTCTTTAGATTTGTGTAAATCGTGAATGTTTAGAAGTAAGGCCGTTTATAGACAAATTAAATCATTGTTCAGCAAAGTGCAATGGAAATGGAGTAAGTAAGCACATGATTTATATTTCCCCAAATTATATCTCTCTTAGATACTTTTCAGCATAAGTCATTAATTTATTTGACATTTATTGGGTTTCTACCATGTGCTAGGACCTGTTGTATCTAGCTATATGGGGCTGAATCAGATTACTAAATTTGTTGCCATTTGCATTAGGGAACATTTTACAGCATTAAATTGCTGATGCCTTTAGCAAATTTATTATTATAGTCGGGTACTTTTCAGAGGTGTTAAATATTCCAATAAATGCATTAACCTGTTCATTGCAGGAAGGTAATTATGATAAAATTTGTGTGTCTGTGAATACATAGTGTGAGGGAAAACTATTTGTTTTACCCCTCTTTTTATAATAGACTTTTCTCCCCATTGAGGCCAATTTATTTCCCATACCAAAAAAAGTAAGAGTGCAGTAGACAGAAGGTTGGATTGTCAATCTCAAGTGATAGTGGAACACACCTATTTTATTTTATTTCTTCTTTAAAAATTTTTATTGGAGTATAGTTGATTTACAGTGTTATGTTAGCTTCAGGTGTACAACAAAATGAATCAGTTATACATATACATAGCCATTCCTTTTTAGATTTTCCCCATATAGGTTATTACCGAATATTGAGTAGTGTTCCCTGTGCATACAGTAAGTCCTTATTAGTTTTCTGTTTTATATATAGTATTGTTTACCTGTTAATCCTAAGATCCTAATTTATCCTTCCCTCACCAGCTTTCACCTTTGGTAACTATACGTTTGTTTTTACATCTGTAAATCTATTTCAGTTTTGTAGATAAGTTCATTTGTAGACTTTATTTTAGATTCCACATGTAAGCAATATCGTATGACATTTGTCTTTCTCTGTCTGACTTACTTAATTCAGTATGACCATCTCTAGGTCCATCTACGTTGCTTCAGATGGCATTATTTTGTTCTTTTTCCATTGTACACATGTAGCACACCTTCTTTATCCATTCCTCTGCCAATGGACTTTAGGTTCCATGTCTTGGCTATTGTAAACAGTGCTGCTATGAACATGGAGGTGCATGTGTACTTTTGGACCAATGGCTTTTTTGCAGATCTAGAACAGAAAAAGATCTTAAAATTTGTATGGAACACAGGAAACACAAAAGACCCCAGATAGCCAAAGCAATCTTGAAAAATTGAAATCCCGAAGGAAAAATATAACTGGAAGAATCACGCTCCTTGACTTCAAACTATACTACAAGCTACAATAATCAAAACAGTATGGTACTGGCACAGAAATAAGAATATAGATCAATGGAATGGGATAGAAAACCCAGAAATAAACCCACAACTTATGATCAATTAATCTATAACAAAGGAGGCAAGAATACATGGAAAAAAGACAATCTCTTCAATAAATGATGCTTACTGAAAAACTAGACAGCTACATGTAAAAGAAAAAAATTAGACTAGTCTCTAATATCACACACAAAAATAAACTCAAAATGGATTAAAGACCTAAATACAACACCAGATACTATAAAACTCTTTGGAGAAAAACATAGGCAGAACACTCTATGATATGAAAATAGCAGTGATATCTTTTTGGACCTACTTCCTAGAGTAATGGAAATAAAAAAAAATAAACAAATGGGACTTAATTATACTTAAATGCTTTTGCACAGTAAAGGAAACCATAAACAACTGGAAAAGACAACCTATATAATGCATATTTGCAAATGACGTAACTGATAAAGGATTAATCTCCAAAATATACAAACAGCTCATACAGCTCAATATAAAAAAGAAAAAGACAAAATGAAAAAGTGGGCAGACCTAGTTAGACATTTCTCCAAAGAAGACATACAGATGACCAACAAGCACACGAAAAAAATCCTCAATGTTACTGATTGTTAGAGAAGTGCAAATCAAAACTACAATGAGATCACCTCACACTGGTCAGAACTGCTATCTTCAAAAAAATTTATAAGCAATAAATACAACAAAGGATGTGGAGGAAAGGGAAGCCTCCTACACTTTTGGTGGGAATGCAAACTGGTACAGCCACAGGGAGAATAGTATCAAGGTTCCTTAAAAACTAAAAACAGAACTACCATATGACCCAGCAATCCCACTCCTAGGCATATATCTGGAGAAAACCAAAATTCAACAATATCCTTCAGTTCAGTGTTCATGACAGCACTATTGACAGCAGAACGTGGAAGCCACCTAAATGTCCATCAAGAGAAGCATGGATAAAGAAGATGCAGTACATATATACAATGGAATTTTACCCAGCCATAAAAAGAAGCAAAACTGTGTCATTTGCAGAGATGTGGAGGGACTTAGAGACTGTCACACAGACTGAAGTAAGTCAGAGAAAAATATCTTTTATATGTGGAATCCAGAAAAATGGCATAGATGAACTTATTTGCAAAGCATAGAGACACAGATAGAGATCAAACATATGGAAACCCAGGGAGGAAGGAGGGGTTGGGGTGAATTGGGAGATTGCTATTGACGTATATACACATTGATAATATGTATAAAATAGACAACCAATGAGAATGTACTGTATAGCACAGGGAACTCTACTCAGTGCCCTGTGATGACCTAATTGGGAAGGAAATTCAAAACAGAGGGGTATGTATATGAGTATAGCTAATTCACTTTGCTGTACAGTAGAAACTAACACAAGCTTGTAAAGCAACTACCAGTTCAGTTCAGTTCAGTCGCTCAGTCATGTCTGACTCTTTGCGATCCCATGAATCGCAGCATGCCAGGCCTCCCTGTCCATCACCAACTCCCGGAGCTCACTCAGACTCATGTCCATCGAGTTGGTAATGCCATCCAGCCATCTCATCCTCTATCGTCCCCTTCTCCTCCTGCCCCCAATCCCTCCCAGCATCAGGGTCTTTTCCAATGAGTCAACTCTTCGCATGAGGTGGCCAAAGTATTGGAGTTTCAGCTTCAGCATCAGTCCTTCCAATGAACACCCAGGACTGATCTCCTTTAGGATAGACTGGTTGGATCTCCCTGCAGTCCAAGGGACTCCCAAGAGTCTTCTCCAACACCACAGTTCAAAAGTCTCAATTTCTCGGCGCTCAGCTTTCTTCACAGTCCAACTCTTCCAAACATGACCACTGGAAAAACCATAGCCTTGACTAGATGGACCTTTGTTGGCAAAGTAATGTCTCTGCTTTTTAATATGCTCTCTAGGTTGGTCATAACTTTCCTTCCAAGGAGTAAGCGTCTTTTAATTTCATGGCTGCAATCACCATCTGCAGTGAATTTGGAGCCCCCAAAAATAAAGTCTGACACTGCTCCACTGTTTCCCCATCTATTTGCCATGAAGTGATGGGACCAGATGCTATGATCTTAGTTTTCTGAGTGTTGAGCTTTAAGCCAACTTTTTCACTCTCCTCTTTCACTTTCATCAAGAGGCTTTTTAGTTCCTCTTCACTTTCTTCCATAAGGGTGGTGTCATCTGCATATCTGAGGTTATTGATATTTCTCCCGGCAATCTTGATTCCAGCTTGTGCTTCCTCCAGCCCAGCGTTTCTTATGATGTACTCTGCATATAAGTTAAATAAGCAGGGTGACAACATACAGCCTTGATATACTCCATTTCCTATTTGGAACCAGTCTATTGGTCCATGTCCAGTTCTATACTCTAATAAAAATTAATAAAAAATGAAATAAAATTTCTTATAGATAATATATTTGGTTTTTCTGCTGATAGCTTCTTATCTTCATTTGCCTATATGAGTTCCATCAATTTCCTCTTCCATTTTTGTGTTTTTGTTTCTCAGATTATGTTGTGAATTTGTTACCAAATTGAAACAGCTCTAGTTATTTTTTCCTATTTCTTTCCCTTTAATCTTTATGCTACAACAAAATTTTACAAAATCCATTCTGATGCAGAGTTGCAGTTTTTTTTTTTTTTTTTGTTTAGTTTTGTCTGTCTATATATCTCCTTGCTTAGTTGCTCAGTAATGTCCGACTCTTTGCAACCCTTTACATTGTGGCCCGTCAGGCTGTTCCATCCATGGGATTTTTCAGGCAAGAATACTGGAGTGGGTTACCATTTCTTCCTTCAGATATATCACCTTACTGAAAGTTTAATGTGCACTTAAGGTAGAAGAGTTCCTTTCAAGATTTCTGTAAGGCAGCTATAGGGGTGATCAACTCTCAACTTTTGTCTTTGGAAAGTCTTTATTTCTCTTTCATATCTGAATGATAACTTTGCCACATAGAGTATTCTTGGGTGACAGTTTTTGTTTCTGAGTATTTTGGGAATTCACCCCTCTGCCCCCTGCCATCTCTGTAGAGCTTTTCTTCTGATAGACTAATGGGGGTTCCTTTGTAGGTTACCATCCCTTTTTTCTAGGCTACCTTTAAAATTCTTTATCAGTGACTTGTGATAATTTTAGTGTGTCTTGAAGGTCTTTTTGCATTAAGATTATTAGGAGTTTTTTATTTTCATGTCCTAGTACATCCAGTTCCTTCCCCATGTTTGTGAAGTTCTCAACTATTATTTATTTAAAAATGCTCTCTGTTCTTTTCTCCCTTTCTTCTCTGGGATACCTGTTATCCGGATTGCCCTGCCTAAAAGAATTGGATAGCTCTTGCAGAATTTTGTCATTTTTATGTCTTATTTCTCTTTCCTAGCCTACTTGTATCATTTCTAGATTTCTATCTTCATGCTCATGTTAGCTCTCTCTTCCATATGGTCTGCTCTATTTCTAGAGATTTCTAATGCATTCTTCATCTCATTTATTGAGTTCTTCAGCTCCAGAATTTTTATTTGGTTCTTTTTTTAGAGTTTTTTTAGAGTCTGAGTCTTATTGGTAAAGTATTCCTTTTGTTCATTAATTTAATTCCTGACTTCATTGAACTGCCTTTCTGAGTTTTCATGTAACTTCTTGAGTTTGTTCATGACAGCTGTTTTGAATTCTCTATCAGTTAGACTGCAGTATTTTTTGACTTAAAGTTCAATTTCTGGATGACTCATTTTCTTTTTGTGAAATT